AAGAACTGTCCTTTAACAGGAACTGACTGAATGAAGGGATAAGCCAAAGGGGATAAAAGGTAAGAGAAGCATAAAGAGACAACATATAGCAAACAGGACAATAATGCACACCACACAACATGTTAATGACATGCAGCAGCCTCATAGGGAAAACACAGGGAGTTAAGAAATTCTCAGTGCACTGGAGTTCCTCCAGTGGCCTGAGCCTACAGCCATAATTACTGGCCTAGTCACACTAGAGAAAAAGTAGGGCAGTAACCTCCAAGAAACTAGGAAAAGTCGGCAGGTGCTGTTGGTTACTGCATTGAATCTTTCAGCATTTTGCAAATACTTGCAGCGACCAACTGTTTACCCAGAGGCTGAGGGTGTTGCATGCTCATGGGAGATCATTTTTGATTGGAGGTTGCACAGGTCGCCTGGTGGGAAGCAACCTCTGCGTAAACAATTACAGTCTAACTTGGACCGACTGCAGTTGCTCTTAGGCAGATTGGTGAAAGTTTGCGCCTAATTGCCATCTTATTTATAAATGCAGACGGATTGCCAACACATTCACTCTGAGTCAGACTGTACAGATGAACACAACCTATCTGCAACGTGTCTATTGGCAATTGGGGACTTGGCTCAGCTGGTCCCTAAATGGTAATATTCATACACTACATAAAAATAAGTGGTCTGTGTTACTTTGCAGTTACATTGCTTTGCAGAATTCACATTAATGCAAATTTCTGTGCACGTAGACAGCAACAGATGTCAATTGCCATAATATCACAAACAGATTTCATGTAACTGTCAAATGGATCCCATGCAATGTTGTTGCTGTTCTATCATCATCTCGATGCTCCACAGTTATTTAAAGACATCAGCTAAGAGTAGTCGCACAGACCTGATCCCCATTTTTCAATCGACCATTTCAAAGGCAGTGAGATCAAGTTCATTTCACACCGCTGCAATAATTTCGGTTGTACTGTGCTCCCAAACCTCTTTTTTTTCCTACTGCGGCTGTACCAAGAATGGTTGAGAGTCCCACAATCCAGCTCCACCTATAAGTTTGATCAAAACGGTAATCTTGAAGATAAACATTCACAAACATTCCCATATTAGCGGCTTTAAACTAAATGCAAGCGTATTGTTATTTACTGATTAGTGCATATATTACTGTTTACCACCTCAGTTTACTGTGTTAGTACTGCTGAGATGTACTAATTTAAGTAAAACACAACATACAGGTGAGGGTGAGGAGAAGCTTTGCAGGTGTTAATAATTTATTTTATTTGCACAAAGCCAATTCACAGCAGCAGTCTTCTCGGGATGCTATTGTGTCACACAGCAAAGCTCCTGCATCCTGGAGAGAAAGAACAAAAGAAAGCACACATTTCATTCCACTTAAACATTTAGAAAATGTGCGCTGTTTAATTAATAATTTACATGCTTGATTTAGCATAGCTTTTTAACTTCATGGTAAATTTCTCATATGAACCCTTCAGACTCGCTTGGATTTAATAAGGTTTTTATTTTGATCTTTCGCTACCAAATACTCATTATGAGTTTGGCCGTTGAACACAGTTTGGTGACTCTTTAATGATGACTGTGGATATCGTTATCGAAAAGCAAAAATACGGCATTAAATAAAATGCTCACTCATGTATGCACATAAAGAGGGCCGAGTGCACGATGTGCACAGATCACCATCATTCAGTATAACTCAGAGATGGATGGAAACGTTTTTCTAACAAATGCTTTATTGGTCGGTTTAAAAATGAACACACCGGTGATCTACAGGAGTACCACAGTACACAGTCACACAAAGATTACAGAAAAAACAGCAGCACACACAAACACGACACACATGCACGCGCACGCACACCGACATGATGGGTTATTAGCACATTATCTGCCTCGTGACGTCTCCCATCATTTTGGTTTGATGGTTCAGGAGTAAACAGAAGATACATTCAATAATCAGCTGTACAACAATGTAATACTTGGATTCAACCCTACCCACCCCCACAAATTGTTAAAAATACAATATTTTCCCACAGATCCGCAGATGTTTGTAATATATTTAACCATATCTTTTAAAAAAATTGGAAAGATGTCTATATACACGGAGGAGGAGTAACGGAAATCACAAAAAATAAAGATTAAATCACTAAAATAAGATTTAAAAAAAAGAAGAATAGAAATAGTTTGTGAAAAGGCAGATGGCAAGCCTCGACACGTTCCCTTTTGTCTTCAGTTTTTCAGCAGATACCATGGCAACAGATTGATGGTTCGCAAAGACGGGAAATCAGGGAGGAAAAATGGACGGTGTCACATGGCGTAATCGGCGACTGTCTACATGAGATTCTGGAAAGAAAAGACACAACAAAGATTAATGGGACAACAGTGTATGACTGCACAGATCAGCATCATTTAAATACAGTTTACAACAAGCATGAGCCTGAATGATTGAATGATTTTTTTGAAAGCTGAGGTTATATATGATATTTTATCTGCAGTTGTTTAGTGGGTAGTGCATGAAAACTGCTCATTCTTTAAAAAACTGTTTAAAAAAGACAAATTGCTAAAATTAATATACTTTGAGGAATCCCAAAAACAATAACTCAGATGACATTATGTTTTTTTTAGATGTATTTCTTAAATTTCTTCTCAAAGACTCAGAAAAAAAATATATACACCAGATATATTGAATCATATCTCAATAACAGGCACCAAATCATGCTCTGTAAATGAGATTTGAAAAGTGATTGTGGACATACCAGGCAGGGGGATGGCTAGAAAGTAAGAGGATTATATTTGGGCGCTTCAACTTCACTACACTCCTTACAATTAAGGCCTCACTCACACAGGACTAGAGACCAGTTGGCAAACCTCTTGGTCGTTTGGGAAAAATGTGTGTCCCCTGATTCATTCCTGTTGGCCAGTGATTGCTGGCAGTCACAAAGTGAAATTAGTCGCAACCAAAAACCTTCTTGTAAGTTCTTTAGTAGCTAGCAGACAGTCACACGTCTGCACACTGAGTGGCAGTGAAACTGGAAAGAAACTTGTGTTTGAGCCAATGAGCAAGCAGTTTCACAGCCAGACTACTCCTCTTTGTCACATCGGTAAAAACGATAATCTCAAGGATGACATCACTGAAGCCACATCCATCTTTTATTCTGTCTATGCAACCAAGATGTTTTAAAAAAAAGTGCAACTGTAACTTTGAAGGCAAACAGTCTGCATTTTTAGTTTGTGTCATGCTGTTCACAGTTAGTTAGCTATGCAAACTACGGGAGCAATCACAGAGAGGTTTTTTCCCTAGTGACGTGCGGCTGTCACAGCTCAGTCACGCAGACTCTAGGGCTGTGTGACTGAGCAAACAACAAACAGGCTAAACTTTTAAGCCTAAAGATAGTGACTTTAATTAGAAAAAGACAGATTTCAGGGAATGAGTGTGTTGCATACTCATTGGTAAAGCATAGAATTATTTCAACTGAATCTATTCAGCTGTCTGTAGGTCTTTTTTAGGTTAAGTTTAAAAATCACCACAAAATCTATACTTCTAGATTTTACTGAGAAACTGCAGTACGTTTTTGAGTTTTAGATAACTATTTTTATCTCTCCTCCAAAACCTGCAGTAAACTTTTGCCATTCACTGTCTCAGCCTGCCCTCAGGTTGCTGTTGAACGGACTGTGCACCACATTATAAAGGCTATGTCTGTTCAGCGGTATCAGCCCCAGTGTACCTCATTTCTCCTAAGACCAGCACTAGATGGTTGCTGAAACACTCCTCCACCAAGGGACCCGTAGTTTGACGTCTGGACGTTGGGCACGATGCTTGACTGTCCGTACGGGATTACATTCTCATCTGCAGATGACAAACAGATTACTCAAAGTCACAGCTGTATTTATATAGGTTAAACCCTGAGTGATGGAGCACAGTGAAAATAGACCCCCTGCTACTAAAAGCAAGGCTGCTTGACTATGGGATGATAAGTGTGCAAACATTCAGTGGCAGTTGTTTCTTTCTCAGCCCAAAGGGATTTGCATGGAGCATCATAATAACATTAATACATATCAGTTGAGGTCCAGCTGTTGAAGCTAGGCGGCATGCGATGCAAAGACAGATGTTGCTCTTTTATCTTTTTCCTGAATGATGCTCCAGGATGCTGCATTATGTGCTTACCCTGCGATAACCACTTTGTAGATCCTCTTCTTTCGGGTGAGAAATGTTCTCCCCTCTTCTGAAGAGTGGGTGAGTCACTCCCCTCTTTGTGTGCTCGACTGCGGCTCAACACATCAGCCAAGAGCTGCAGGGAGTCATCTGTGCGGAGAGGAGCCGGTGGAGGGGGGAGCTCTGCGCATGATTGATAATTGATGATTAAAAAAACAAATAAACAGAGAATTTTGACTTTAAAGAAATAGTTTGACATTTTGGGGAAAAGACGCTTAATTGCTTTCTTGCCAAGCGTTAGATGAGAGGATACCACTGTCTGTTTATTATATATGAAGCTAAACATAGTAGTGCACACAGTAATCTTTGCACAAAGACTGGAAACAGTAGGGAATGGTTAACTTAGTGCTGCTCTAAAGCAGCAGCAGCAGTGCCTCTAAGGCTAACTGATTATATTTTGTTTGTTAAATTAGGAAAAAAGCACCAATGGAAAACTACAAATGGCAATTTTACATGGTGCTATTAGCCAAATTCACAGAAGAGAACGCATTATTTAAAACTCTCAGGGAGTAAATAAACGATCGTATTTGCCAAAAAGTTACTACTTTATAATTAAGCTTTACTAAACATTTACAAATATCAGAAAGAACAGAAATAATCCAAAGTGAATTCTTGCACTTGATTATGAAGTCTGCTGCCATGCTAGCCACTCTGGGGTGCTTTACTGAGATAAGTGCTAACACCAGAATGCTGTTATGCTCACAATAACAATGATGACCTTCCGAGGGGTCGCCAAGTATAATGTTCGAGGTATTGAAAGTCTTAAAGCAGTATATTAGCATGATGATTAGGGATGGGTACCGGTATCCGGTGCCCTGATGGCACCGGTTCTGACATAAAC